GGGGGAAATCTGGTATCCCAGGGTGGGGAGTTTGAGGGTACCTTGGTGGGGACTGGGTGCTGGGGGCACTTTGAGTGTATCTGTGGTGGGTTTGGGGTTCCTCAGGTGTATTTTGGGGTCCTTGGTAAGACACTGGGGGTTCCCAGGGAGTATTTGGGTCCCAGGGGTGTATTTTGGTGATGTTTCTGGGAGGATTCACTGATGAGAGTTTGGGCTGCCCGCCCTTCTTTCCCGAAGACACAAACCCCAGAGGGTACTGGGATCCCTCAAGGGCATTTTGGGGTCCCTCAGGGTATTTCGGGGGTGTTTCTGGGGCACTCACCAATGACAGAGCTGGGGCTGCGGCCGCCCCTGCCGAAGGCGCAGACCCCGGGGGCCTCGGCCGGGACAGTGAAGCTGGCCAGGGACCACTGGGACTCCACGTAGGGGCCCAGCACAGGGCCCACCTTCCCCACCCGTGCCAGCCTGGGGGCAAGGGGGGTTCAGAGGGGTTGCGGGGGGTTTGGGGTGTTGCTCCCCCGGTCTGACCCCCCCCACTCACGCTGAGCGCCGGTTGAGCCGAGTGTCCCGCAGGGCGAAGACGTGGCCGGTGCCTTTGTCACTCGCCGCACACAGGAAGGAGCAGTCGGGGCTGAATGCCAGGCTGGGACGGGACAAACACCCCAAAACCTCGTCAGGGATGGGGGACCAAAACCTGGTCAGGGTCCCCGAATGCTCAGATCCACCCACAGCCCCCCAGCACCACCAGAACAGTGGGGGGGTGAGCTGGAGCAGCTCAACCAGGCCGAGAGGGACCCCTAAAACAGGGCAGGGAGGGAGCAGCACCCCAAAATCAGGTGGGGTGAGGTCCCCCAAATCCTCAGATCCACCTCCATTTCCTCCCAGCGCCCCCAGGACAGTGGGACAGGGTCTGGACACTGGCTCAGCTCGAGCACGGGACACCTGGAAGTTCCCATTCCCCGCCCCGTGCCCCCAGTCCCTCCCAGTGCTCCCAGTGGCACCAGTAGAGCGTGGCGGGGTCGGTGCCGCGGCGCAGCTCCAGCAGGCGGGTGCGGCTCTGGGTGCAGAAGAGGCGGATCAGGGTGCCCCTCCGCGATGCCGAGGCCACCAAGGTCCCCGTGGGGCTCAGGGCGGCACAGCCGACCTCGCTCTGATGCGCGTTGATCGTCACCGGTGCCGAGGACGTGCCCGGCTTGGCCGAGCCCAGGTCCTGGGGGGGATAGGGGTGAAGGACCCCCAGTGCTCCCCAGCATCCCCCCAGTGCTCCCCAGTATGCTCCCAGTGCCCCCCAGTACCACCCCGGTGCTCCCAGTACACTCCCTGTGCACTCCAGACCCCTCCAGCCCCGTCCCAGTGACCCCCAGTCCCCATCTCTGCCTTTCCCAGCCCCCTCCAGTCCCTCCCAGTATCCCCAGTAAGTCCCTCACCACCAGCTGGAGGCTCCCGCACTTGTGTCCTGGGAACACCAGTAAGGCCCGTTCCAAACTGGGACAGAGATCCACAATCCCTGGGGGATGAGCCAGACCTTGGAGTGTCCCTGCTCCCTCCCAGGACCCCAGGGACTCCCAAAATCCCCCCCAGAACATCGCAGTCCCCCCTGAACATTGGGGTCCCCCAGAGTTTCAGGGTTCCCCCAGGGTTTTGGGGTTCCCCTGGAGTTCCAGGCTCTCCCTCATTTATTGGGATCCCTCCCTGTGTTTTGAGTAGCCCCTGGAGGAAAGTTTGGGGTACCCCCTGGATTCCTGTGCCCCCCCTGGGACTTTGGGATCCCTCCCAACCCCCCCCTTCAATAAAGAGAACAGGGGGAGTTTGTCCTAAACACCT